GGTTCAGATGATAAACTAGTTTAAAACACTACATTCTCACCACAATTATCCCACGTTACAATAATAATCATTCCAAGGACTAGGGTAGGCACAAATAATGGATGCATTGGCCTACCTGATGCATGATGTGAACAGCTGGAGCAAGCATAGCGACTGTGGCTCGTGATTCTGGCCTAAAAAGTATGAATTTCAAGTTCATGTAGAGTCAAAAAGAAAAGAAAAAACTGTGTTCAAGCTTCTACAGCCAGAAAATAAGGTTAATTCTGAATTTTTTCTATACAAGATAACTTCGAAGAAAAAAAATTTGGGGTGGGCTTTGTAATCTCTGATCTTAGTCTAGACAATGTTGAAATTTTCAAGAGTCATACCTTGAAAATTATAATAATAAGCTTAAAGCTTAAAAATAATAAGCTTAACTTTTTTAATTTACATCACTTGCATACTTGCAGAATAAATGTATACTGATTACAAACAAGCAATAATTTTCTCGCTTGTTCGGGATAATTCACTATTTATGACGCTTCGCACCCTTAGCCCCTTGAAGTGTGCATTTTTAAAGGAAATTGTACTAATATTTACAGGAGCTCTGAATTATTATCTTTCTCGCAGAAATGCAAATAAACAAAGCCTTTCGCCAACATTTTATAGGGATTCGATAGCTTTCCTGAAGAATGAGTGATGTTTGACTTAAAACTATTAGGAATCACCTCAATGGTAACCGTTGTCCTCCGTCTTCAGATTGTGTGGCTGCTAATGTTTGCGCATGCTGTTGCATCCGAGATCGTAGAGCGCTCATCTTTGGACTTGATGGACCGTCATTCTGCATTGGCGGATACATTTCCTGAATAAATGTTCATTTAATCGTTGTCGCCGTCGTAGTCTTCGACTCTTTCTCGGAAGTCTACGCTCATTTATTGAACGCATTAGTGTGTCAGTCCTTTGTGTGTGTGTGTGTTTTTTTTGTGTGTGCAATGAATGACTTTCATCCTTCACTTAATACTCGCAATATATGGAAAGAGCTGTGCGCGTGAGT